GGGTGGTATGTGTGTGTGTGTGATGTGTGTGTGGTATGTGTGTGTGTGTGTGTTTGTTTCTTACTCGGAGCTCCTCACATAAGTGAACTTTACCTGCCAGCACTTGCTATTGCCATTATACTATCTGCAGGCAAGGCAAGAACCCCCGTTGCTGGTCTGTCTCCTGACCCCAGACAAGACTGCGACAGTTCAGAATCTGGTTTCAGTCTTACTGGAAACATAACCACCAAAAGATTGATGCTTATTCTTCAGATTAAGAAGTCCCACAATTGTAACCTGAACTTGCCAAGGCAGTTTACCTTGTTTGATTGAATCAAACAAATAGTTTATTTTGAGCTAGTTTGATATTAACCTGTGCTTTAACCAGAATGTCCCGGGAATTTTGTTCTGATGCTCCATGGCCTTATTCTGCATAGTGACCCGGTATAACTGTATCTCCCTTGGTCCTTCACATCAATTTGAAGCAAAGGAAACCCCACAGAGAGAGCAAAAAGAATACAGATGGAAAATCCACCACACACGGAAGGACCTCAAACAAGCACAGATCAAACTCATTTGCAGCAACTTATTTCCTGTCACTTGGAGTCTGAGGACAGAGAAGAAAGCAAAAGCAAAAGGATCAAATTGAATGTCTGTAATATTCAATATGAATAAAGTAGGTACCTTGTGGTACTAAAGCTTTTTTTAGGCAATGTGTTTGTTTCAAATGCAAGTATAATCTGTGTTCCATCCCTTACTCCACAATTACACACTGTGTAATTCACAAATTCATACCACATGAAAGCAATGCTACTAATACCACAAGTGTGCAACATTTCAGGCAAATCTTGAAGTATATAATAAATTTTCAGACAAATGCAGAGAGAAAACCTGGCAGCATTAAGTATTAGGAAAGATGCCCCAATAATGCTTCAATCCCTAATTCTAATAGAGAAAACCAAATAACCCTTGGAAACATTTGAATTAATTTTTAAATTACAGTTACTTCACTGTCTTTGGTCTCAGCTGTTTGTCTCTGGAGTGCAGAACAGATACTTGATGAGTCAGTTCTCAGAAATCACAAACCTCAGTTAATTCAGTGGTAGTGGGAAGCTTCACTTTCTTCTGCAGAATAGGTCCGCATAAGTGTGAGACGAGTAGATGCCATTTGATTTGAAAAATGGGGTTTTAAAATCAATGCTTCCCTCTTCAGATTATCACTTCAATTATCCTGCCTTCCGAAAAGGTCAATGGAAAGCAGATTTCTTCAATGGGACCGAAAAAAGACACGGTACATTTTTCATTAGCAACCAAATAAAGGAATAATGAAGGAGAGCAAGTACCTATTTATGTAGTGCTTTTGGGGGGGGTGGGGGGGCAGGAAATCACAGAAACAAACACACCACTTCAGGGCTCTTTTTTTCTGTTAAGCAAAGATTTTGGCCACTAGACTATCAAAATAATTGCAAGTGTGGTAGTTTTGAACTAGGCAGTTACCTCATACATTTGCACAAAGCTCTTTGTATCTTCATATCTGTTGTAAAAATGCCACAAAGGAGAAAAAGAGAAGTTCCCAGGAATTCAGGATTTCCACTGGTACAACCAGTTATCTATTCACGCTGCATCCTGCACTCCATCCATATTCCATATGCTTATTAATGGTCTTTTTACAGTTCCTCCTGAGGCCAAACTCATTATCACAGTGTATTTGTTTGTCTGAATAAATACATCACTTATGAAAAAGGATTAAATGCAAATATGTACCCTACAGATCCTGTGCTACTGGTGGAGTCAGCACTAAAACACAAGCTGCACTTGGTTACAAAAATATCATCTCAGTGCCTTCCCTTCATTTGAGATGGTTGCTTTTCATTAAGATCACTTTTAGACAGACAATTAAAAACACGATTAAACTGTAATTTTAAAATACATACGCACCAATCTGCTAATGAAGTGTAAAAATACACTTGGGCTATTATAAGGTTATCCACCAGCTCTTATTTCTTGGTCATTTCCCCTGATAATTCTCCCAAATCCAAGACTCCTTGACTGTGATTTGTCTAAGTTTTGAGTTCCCAACAAAAAGATTAAATAAATAAACAAATAAATAAATAAAACCTCATACGTGAGTTCTCATCCATGGATTACTGGTATGAAAAAACCCACCCTATTTCATAAACCTCAAGTGGATCAGGCATCTTCTGAAATATTGCATTAAGAGGACTAGAGTTACATCAATAATGTGCATTCTTTGCTGTACTCTGCTTTGTTTTTCTAGGCAACCAAAATATAGTGGAGAAGTGGATACAAGTCATAACAGGTGGAAGAGATTAATTTTTCAGTCTCTCAAAAGCAAAGAAAAATTACACAATTTGTAAATAAAACAACAAATACAAACCGTTAGACAATTGAGAAGTATTATTATATTTTTCTGATTTAAATATTAAAATATTTTTTAAGACAACTTTTTTTTTAATTTTGTGGGGATTTTTTGCCTTTTTTGTTGTTGTTACTATTGTTTATTTTGGATGTTTTATTTCTGTTCTGTTTTGTTTCTCCCTTAAAAACAAATTTCAATAAAAACATCTATAATTTTCCCTTTCCTGAGGGGCAAGGTGTAGAAAGGAGGACATCTTGGAAAATACCAATACTGATCATAATCATAATATTCCAAGTCCCCAAACTTATCTACAGATTTCACGCTACCAAAAACACATTCTGTGCTCTTCTGGAAATTACGTTCATTTGTTTTAAAATTCATCATGTATTCCCTAATTCCTCTCTTTTCTTAAATAAAACTATCCACCTTTCCTTGTAGGCCATGTCTTCTTAGTTCTCTACTATTTTTTGCTGGATTTTGTTGTCTTCAATCAAAACCAACTAACAAATATTATTTTTAATAACAAACTGATCAGGAAAACAGGTTCTCAGGTTTGCAGAAGGCCACAAACAACAGGTGGAAGTATGAGCCACTGTGCTTGCATCTGTTAATTAAGCTGTGTTAAATGATTAATATCACTTCAGCAGCCACCTAGTCAGCTTGATATTGAAAAGCAACAGTCTCCACAACTAAACTGTCCACATGTGTGCAACAGTCATCTAAAGAATGCTTTAACAAAAAGAGCACACCTTAACAGACCTCTTAGAACTAGTCAGAAAATAGTGACTTAAATTTATTTTAAGTCAAAATATTTATGGTTTTTATAGGGGGAAAAAGGAAAAAAAAACAACGAAACAAAACACCTGTCTCATTTATTTGAGAAAGGGAAAAACCCAAGAATCACCTTCATAAAAAAATGAAACACCAATTGAATACTTTTCATCATTCTTATACTCAGTTATTGAAAATAAGGCTATTTGGTCCTGTGTCACCTCTGCAGGAGAATTCTCATCCCAGGTGTGATATAGGCAGGTATGGTTCTCCCTCTCAGTTCCTCTCAATGTTTAATTCTACAGTTTCTCAAACAATTCTACAGTTTCTCAAACAATGAGAGAAGATGCAGAGGAAAAGAAAGGGAGAGCAGATGTGGTGGATTACTGAATGCTCAGACACGAAGTCTATCTCAAGAAAAACAATGTGTGTTAAATAAGCAAATTTTCACCTTCTATGGCTCTACAAGGCCACCACAGCTTCAGCTGGAACTCAAGTTCAGTGGCCTTTCAACATAGGAGAGGACTCTGCAGGGCATTCAGCC